CACATGTGTAATGTTCAATGCACTTGGTTGTGCTTGGCCAGTCAGCCAGTGGAAAAGAACGTACTTTCAGACAGAACAAGGCTTGGTACTTAGGCAATGTGACCCACAAGCGGCAGGTCTTTTGATTGAGGCACACGGGGCCTTAGCAGGTGAAGTTCGAGAGCAGACACGTGGCCGACAACCAGGCAGGAGACACGGCACACATTTATTGGGAGTTTGCTTTGCTTGCTCTTTTTTCTCTGTCTTTCTTTCTTTCTTTCTTTCTTTCTTCTTTCTTTCTGTCTCTGTCTCTTTCTTTTCTGGCAATTAGTCTCCGGAAGACTACAGGCCATGCGGATTGCTTTTTTTGATTGTTTGACGTTTGTTTGCTTTTTGAAAACAGTCGACCTAGCCAGCACACACGCACTGAAATCGCTGCAGGATGGTACACAGCATGTTTCTCTTCTTGGGTTCATCGCTCCCAGCCTCCTTTCCGCTTGGCCTAGCCCTGTTCCTACTTCATGAAGGTATTGCATTAGCATTGGGCAAATCTTCGTACGGTGGGTGAGATGATCTGGCATTCAGGAAATCCTTTGGGCGGTAACGCAATCTTCTTCATTCCCTCGGAACATGAGCATTCCTGTGATGTGTGTTAAGCAGGCCCCCGAACTTGGGATTTCCCGAAAAAAATGAGAGGCCTGCATCTAGAAGCGAGGCACCAGGGAACTTGGTGTCAAAGGAGATGAACCGTATGAGTGAGAGGATGCTCACTCCTAGTGAGAGAGCCATGCCAATGGCAAGGGTTGTTTGATGTGCTTTGCCTGACGCCTCGATTTTCCTGAAGTTTGAATTGGGGGCCCTAACACGCACTCCCTTCCCCGCGCACAACAAATAAATTATGTGACTCGTTCAGAGGGAGCCCGCGTGAGCTGGAGAGAAAGGGAGCTTGAAGACTCAAGGTCAGCTCAACGGACACCTCTCATCTAAAGCGGCTGGATAGATCCATCTTTTTTCCAGTTTTTCCCTGCTTGGAAGCAATGCCCTCGTTCCACAACCAAAAACACCGAGTGAAAAAAACATTTCAATCCACGCAGTTTCAAGCAGGTGAAACACATGGGCAGGTCACCGCGCATGGCTATGCGGACATGATCGGGCCACTGGACGCAGGGAACTATCAGTACCTTGGCTTATAGCGAAACAGCCCAGGCATTACATCCGGAGACGCCCCCTTTCCTCGATGTCCCAGTGCGTGAGGACTTTTAGATACACAAAGCCAGAAGTTGCGTGTTGCGAGTGAACATCCCAGTCAGTTGCTTCACCTGCTCAGTGCAGTTGCGTATTTGTGGCAGTAGGCCCTCGGAAGTCATCACAACTTTCCGGTCGACCGCGTCGCAGCAGGTGGTTGACTGGGTGTGGGCTGAACTAGTTTGCTTTGACCGTCGGCGAGTCAGGTTGATGATGTACTACGTGGCTGGTGCTGGCTCGTGCAGATCCCAGCCGCAGTGTCGCATCTTGTTTTTTACGCAAATGGTTGCCCTGTGTTATCATGATATCTTTGTGCCTTCGGGTTTCCGTCGGTCTCGGTCCTTCCTCACCTTTCCTACAAGACCAGTCCTTTAGCAAGGTGTCCACTACAACTGGAGTCCTGGAGGGCAGCGTTGGTGGAACACGCAATAGGGGGGGTTTGTCAACGAGGGCCTGGAAAAAGAGGTTCCTGTTGGTTTCCTTTTCAACAGCAAGCGGTGTTTGAGAAACCTCTTCTTTTTTCCTGGAGTTGAGTTTATACCGATCTTGTCATCGGTTCACTTGCAATCTTGAGAACAGCAAACGAGTCGGTGGCCGCTTTCAATCACTGTCCACCCTCAATTGAGGGTCCGCCGGCTGAGGGTCATCCGCTTACAGCCAGTCCTCAATTGGCGAAAATTTGGGTGAAACAGGAGGATGAAGGTTACTTGGCAACAGTCCCAACTCTATGTATACTTATGTATATATATATATATATATACACATTAACATAAACATAGTATACATAATATATATATATATATGCATACACACTATTGCTGTCCTTTTAATTCTTTACAGGGTTTCGGGTAGAACCCTTGCATACCATGCTTTGATTATGTCTCAAAAGGACTTGGCGAGCACACGGACTTTGTCATTTTGCATGCAGGTCGCAACAACTCAGCCTGGCGTGTTGTTCTGAAGCATAGCTGAGAAGCCAGCGAGACAGCTGAGCAACAAGAGCTGTCAAGATGAAACAGCAACAAGAGGTCCTTTGCATCGATAGTGGACTTGGTCAAGAATACCAACGTACATATTTGTTGGGTGCCTCTTGCATGTTTCTCAAATTGATAGGGCAAATACAGATATTTGGACTCATTGCCAGGAGTGCTCTAGCTCTAGAGTCCGGGTCAAAAGCACACTAGTTTTGACATGGTCACCCATGGGTCAAGCAAACTTCAGGTAATATACTACATATATGTGATGTCCACTCAAGTTGGTCCATTTTTCATTTTTTGACTTCATCAAGTTCTAGGGCCCATTTTTGTTGCCTCCACAGGCCTTCCAGCTTCCAGCTCTGTAGTAACTCCCTGGTGGACCTCCGCTTGGTCTCCCGAGCCACGTGCCCTCAGAGAGAGGAATGGATGCCTGTGTTTGCCTTCCCTCGAGCCCTTTTGTTCCCTAGCTGAAAGCTATAGGGGTTCTAACTCCTAACAATCAAGGGAAAGCAATTGATGGTTGGCGGTTTGGGGGCGTGCAGTTTGGGGCACTGGTGTAGGTGCTGTTTCGGGTGCTGTTTGAGCTGCGCTGTTTTGGGATGCTGTTTGGGGTGTTGGTTCACGTGCTTTTCGGGCAGTGCTGTTGGAGGTGCTGGCGTGCAATCGTGGGCACCAGTTTCGCAATCTGGGTTCTATGCTGGTGTATTTTTTGTCGAGGGAAAACCAAGGGACACCAACCAAATTGGGATTTGTTGATGTTCCACATCACGTCACAGAGTTTAAGGAAAAGGCATCGAACAACAGTTGTTTGCAGTCGTTTGTTTGCGGGTGTGTCAGTTTGGCAGCTTTAGAATTGAGGCTTGTACATACGTGTGTCCCGTCTTTTTACTCCATCTTTTGCTGTGTTTCCGACCCTTCAGGGGCTAACGCGACATTTGCGGGAGTAGGAAGAGCTGCTTAGCTTGAAGAAACAGCTTGACAGCACTTGTTCCGTATTCCCCATGGCCTAGTGTTCCTGACCTGCTGTTACCTGCAGCGTTTTCTTTCAATCACATATGTGAGGTTTGGCGCTGCGTCACAGCTTCTCGTTGCCTTCTCTCGGACATTCGCTAGATGCTGATCTCATTTGCCAAGCAGGTGATGTGGAAGCGATGCGCAAAAAGTTGACGCTTCTCAACCCCTGCCCCATTTATTACGGGGAGACAAGGTCACCATCGCAGCTACTTTCCAACAAGTACTCCGGTCATGTTTTTCTCCAAACCTCCACATTCATGGCTTTTTGCAAACTTCCCCACGGTTTTTGTGGCAATGTATGGACTTTCGCAAACACACTTACTTGGAGCATGTCCGTGAAGAGGATTATATCATGTGTACAACAGAATTCAAAGGCTTTTGTAGCTCGCATATTTCCACTTGCATACCTGCTCGTGGGCAATCGTTTGAGGTCAAAACCGGTTAGGCCATGTTTCGCCCCCCCTCTAAATGGTTGGTATTCTGTTGGTTGCATTCTGAGCATGTTCAATGGGCCAAAGTTTCAAAACACACACACACACACATCCACGCATGCGCGCACTCATGCAGCCATTCCTTGTGCAGGGGAAGCTGCTTGAAACTCCGCTTTTAGGATCGGTCTGTGAGTTGGGGGGAGTTGGTTGCAACCTTTCCAGATTGGAAAATTACTCAGAGTCCCAACAAGGACTCCTCGCACACGGGCTTCCCCAAAACTGAGAGCCCCTTTTTAGTTTTTGCGCCAAAAGGGCCCCAGCTTTCCGGCCGGCCCTTCAGGTATGCCAACCGGACGGAGGAGTGGATGTGCTCGCTGGCGGCCCGAGTCCTCCAAATGTTTTCGTGAGAGCCCCTGTGTATGATTGGACCTCATTGCGAAATCTGTGGATGGTTGCCCCAGAGCGTTGGTATGAATGTTAGGGAATCCAATCAGACACCAGTTCTTTTTTTTAGGCGGTGCAGGGTTTCGTCCATCTAGAGTATTTTCTTATATACATGTATTCATGCACATATGCAGCATATGCATTTATTAGTTTATTTGTATGGATGAGATCAACAAGTGTTTTGTAACGGCACTGGTTCAAACCTGTTTGGCCAGGTGGCAAAGGCCCGAACCTGCCCCAATAGCATCGCCAGAACCCCGCTGTTTCTGGTTGAGGAAGGCTCTCCTTCCGACAAGACCCTTGTTAGGAACTCATCACGACCCTGTGGTCCTCTTAAAGCCTTAAGACCCGCGGAGTTTCAGGCGCAAAGGGGGATTTTCCCGATCCGAAAGTGCGCCTTGCCCAGATATACTTTGCAACGCACTGTAGGGGCCCCTCAAACTCACACAGAGCCTAGGGCAATCACACCACGCAAATTGCGCACTGTGCCCGCGACCAGGAAAGGCTTTGGGGGACGATGGGATGCCAGTGTGCGATGTTGGAAAACTTGGCTGGCCTTGCTTCAAAGGACATGCATCTTTCCCTTGGCGACCAGTTGATTTCGTTTTTTTTGTTTGATACTTGGGCAGTAGCTAATCCTGCTTCAGCTGGCACGCCCGCATTTGTTGCAGCATCGAGTTCCAATCTTGGGGTGCTCGGTGGACGTACCACTGAGAGCCACTGTGTGCGCCTCTAGGCGGGAGGAAATTCCCCCCACAGAGTGTGAAAGAACGAGCGGGGTCATGCTGGGGGCATTCAAATTCTATAGACAGTTCGAAGCTGTGCTGACCCTTTTTGTCCAAGTGTTCAGCTGCAAGCTTGCTGTCCAGCGCCGCACTTTCTGCCCGAAACTCCGGCTGTGGGTCCCGCCATGGATTTCGGCAACCCCAATTGGGCAAACCCTTTGGGCTCGACCTCTGGAGGCTTTGGGGGTGTTTCGAATGTCCCCGCCCCGACGGAGGACATTTGGGGGCACCCCAAGCCGAACCCCTACCAAGCGAACCCCTACCAAGCGCACCAGCTGGCGCCCAACCAGCCGGCGCCCCACCAGCCGGCGCCCCACCAGCCGGCGCCCCACCAGCCGGCGCCCCACCAGCCGGTGCCAAGCCAGCCGGTGCAAAGCCAGCCGGTGCAAAGCCAGCCGGTGCAAAGCCAGCCGGTGCCGAATGCAACCCCAGTGCAATCCATGCCGTCTATGACGCCAAGCATGCCGAACTTCATGGAGGGCAACCGCTTCCAGGCGCAGTTCCACGAGGGGAGGTTTGAGGCCCAGGGTGCCACCACGCAGAGCTTTAGCGGTTTCCAGCAAATGCCGCCGGTGCTGCACCAGCAGATCCAGATGGAACAGTTTCAGTTCTCATCAGCGGGCGCGCAGCCGGGCGGGCAGCCCAACATGCAGCCCAACATGCAGTCTAGCATGCAGCCCAACATGCAGCCCAACATGCAGTCGAGCATGCAGCCAGGCATGCAGCAGCCCAGCATGCAGCCAGGCATGCCGCCAGACATGCAGGTAAGCGTACAGCCAAGTATGAACATGGGCCTTCAGCCCAGCATGCAGCCGGGCATGCAGCCGGGCATGCAGCCAGACATGCCGGGCATGCCGGGCATGCAGGAGAATCGTATGTGCAGCTGCGGGCAGCCAGCTCTTTTGCTGACCGTCAAGAAGGACAGCCGAGCGTTTTGGGGAAGTGGGGAGAAGGCAAGAAAGTGAGCCCGCAGGCATGCTTCAAGGGAAAATCAGATGGTTTTTGGATTTGGCGGGCTTAAGAACCCATGACATGTTGTTTTGTTTGAAGTTTGGGTTGGGACGCGATTCCCCTGATGAGATGCTGAGCATAAAGAGCAGAGATACAACTGAGCAGACATGCATCCATACTTCAAGACAAAACAAAGCCTGTCGACGCAAACAGCGCTGAAAAACACACCAGGATCCAAGCCGATTGACCCGTTCGCTTCAGGAGGGGCCAAACCAGGGCAGGTGCTTCTTCAAGTGCGCCCGCCAGCACCCAGAACCGCCCTGCCCCTTCTTCGAGTGGGCAGATGAGCCGCCGCGGACGGGGAAGGCGAGTTTCGGGGGCGGCAACGCGCCCAGCGGCTCGGGGCAGCAGCAAGGACAGCCCGGCCCCAATTGTGCCTTGGCAGGAGGGCCCCATTCAGATGGGTGACATCCTCTTGGTGTCCCTCTCCAAGCCATCCAACAGGGGTCTTCCACCCCGTTTTGAAGGCCAATACTTGTAGTTTCTGTTGGTGGGAACTTGGGTTGAGACGTGTATGTCGTTTAGAAACATCATTGTTAGTTGCATCTTGCTTGCCACTTCATTCTAATGATGGCCAACTACACATCAGCATGATTTCAGAGGGTTACCATAGAAATGGTAGCGCGCAATATGAAGTATTGTTTCTGTTGCTTACATCTACGTATACATGTTTTCATATATATATATGGTACCCCCCCCCATGGACCCTGGTTTGGTGCGTTTGACCTGTATTTTCCTGTGTTTTATGCCTTGGTTTGCTTCTTGGATTTTGTGTCAAATTAGGGGGGGTGCCGGGGGTATATATGATATGCATGCATGCATCCAGATGTGATAAAAGCAATGACATCAGCATCTGCAATCTGAAATAGTTTGAATGTACCCAAGAGTACAGGAACAACTCAGTTTTTATTTTTTTTTAGTCGGATTCAAGATTCAAGATTCATGAATCTGAGAACATATTTTCTGGGAATCTTGAATCCCATTCTTTTAAAGGTGAAAGTTCCAGGGTTGTCCCAATACTCTTAGTGTTGAATAAGATTCTCGAAAAAAAGAAAAAACACCATACCGTGAAATATTTCAATCTCGCATCTTCAATCCAGTGGAAAAATGCATCCAAGGAGTTAGAACAACTTGAACATATGTACGGGTTGACCAGGATGGATGATTCTCAGGAAAGTTGTTGTTTGTGCACTCCTCAATATTGCATCCTCAATCCAGTGGTAAAACACTTTCAAGTGTTAGAAGAACTTGAGCGTTGTTTGGGTTTGGCCAGGATTGACATTTCTCAGGAAAGTTTTCTGCGTAATCTTCAATCTTGAATCTTCCATCCAGTGGTAAAATACATTCAAGTGCTTAGCCATCCAGTGCAAACAAATTCTTGGTTAGACAAACTTTCAAGTGCTTTTGGTGAGCTTCATGTCAGCTATGCTCATGTTGACCATTTTCCAGGAGGCAAATACAGGTAGGTGTAATGCTCACAAACACTTTCTTTCCAGGCTTTTACGAAGAGGCGCAGGATCATGAGGGGTACTATATATGTGTGTGTATGTGTATATATATATATATATATATATATGCATATGTATGTATGTTCACACACCTTGAACTACCTGTCCGCATTTGCTCATCTTCTACCTCCACCTTTTGAGATAGAATGAATTTTGTTTCCTGTGCAAATAGAACTTTAAATCCAACTGATTTAGCTAGAATCCCTGTTTCGAGATAGTTTTAGATTTGGAACCTCTCTTCCCTTGAAATGTCCCTTTGAAACACCGTCTAACAAGTTCAATGTCGGACCTTTCCTATGCTACAAAAGGGCCAGCATGTAGATAACACAATTCGCATTTGAATTTCCTTGCAAAAGTCCCTTAAATGTTTAGCCATACTTTATATGAATTATGTTTGAGAAATAGTCTCTATTTAATTGCTATTGTCAAAAGCTAATTGAATTGTGTTTGTATTGGATTATATTTAACACTTAGATTGTATTTGGGAATAAACTCCTATCTAACTTCTTTTGTTAAAGATTAGTTGGAGCTTACCCGAAACTATATTTACATTTTCATGTAGCTCTTATTTGGAAAGGATTTGCATATTTAGGCTGTAATTGAACATAAACACATGGTTGAAAACTATATCCTTACTAAACTAAACTCAAAAGTTCAATTCTAGTCCAAATAAAAGCTCATTTGGAAAGCGTATCATATTGGGACATTATGGAGGACTCCGGGCTCCAATTTATCAGGCTTTGGGGACTCACAATTGGACATTTCGAGAAAATAATTTTTAAGATTCCAGATTTGCTATCCCCAAAAGGCAGTAAAACCAGGGTCCATTGGGAGGGGGGGTAGCATTTGTATGTATATATATATACACATTCACATATATATATATATTTATCAATCAGCTACGTTAAGCAGCATTCTTGCACTTTTCAAAATGCAGAGGCCTCTTTTCCGCAATGCTAATACATTGACTGTTTGTGTCGGTGCTTGTTTGCCTCACGTTTTTTTTTTTTTTTAACTGTAAACTTCAGCGAAGTGAGTTCCCCTTGGATAATAAACAACTGCGGCGCTTGGCAGCTTTCACACAAAACACAGTTTCAGCACGCGGTGCTCTCTGTCTCACAAAGGTTTTCCGCTCGGCTGTGGCCAGAAAGACAAGCAGGTTAGAATCTCCATTCACAGAACCCCCCCCCCCCCGCCCCTGACTTTCGTGGCTGTCCATGGGCCGTCCTGATCTATATTTACATAAGCTTTCCCCCCCAAGAGATCCTCCACATGTCGCAAATATCTTACCCTGGACAAGTGTGTGATTGCCACAAAGGAGGACTCCAGTACTGCCCGGGGGGAGAGCTCCAATAGCTCCCGGGTGAGGCCCCTGTGGGCAGCCCAGCGTGGGTTTCAACGTGCGGAAGGACGGGCCCAACCAGGGCCGGCTCTTCTTCAAGTGCGCGGCCGGGCAATGTGGCCCCTTGGCAAAGGATCCAGGGCCGGCTGTTGCGAAGGAGCCAAGGAGCCAAGCATTTTGTGTTGTCGGGACTTGGAACACACAAGCAGTTCTGGATTTTATCCATACCGGGTAGCGCAGCGACGTGCTTGTCCGGCCCGGGCTTTCTCTCCTTCGAACTGAAAAAGGACGCTAGTCAGTTTCTGTGATTTCCACATGAGGAAAGAGCAATAAACGCAGCGTTCCTTGCCAGCGTGTGGATTTTTCATTTCCCTTCGCCTCTTCTTTAAAGCAACCACTGCATCCTTTTGAGGAACACCGTCCTTTGGGATCGTTTTAGAAGCCAGACTGGTCCAAGACGCAGCTCAGGCTACTTTCAATGGGGGGACCAGGAGCCGGACCCCTTGGGTCCCCCCTGTGCCTGCGGGGTGCCCAGCGTGCGGAGGATTGTGCAGAAGGACAGGGGCATCCTTGCAACGGGCCTTGCTTCGAGCAGGGAATGAGGGAAGGATCCCGACAGAAGCCGTCCAACTGGTCCCTTGATTCCTTGCTGAGAACCAGCAGGTCAAGGCCAATGTTACGAGAGGTTCCACGACGGTTACCCTTTTGAATTTTGGGGAAGCCTTACAGAGGGCCCCCAAAAGGAGATGCCTCGACAAAGACGGGTTCCATGACGATCTGCGGAGTGTGCACGCGACGTTCCCTGGGCGTTCAGTGGCGGGCTTTTGTTTTAAGCACTTCCTTTGTTTCTTCCCCGTCTGGCTCCCCTCTGAACAAATGGAAAACAAAAAGGCATGGGATTGTTTTCCTCCCCCCACGACTGCTGGGCAAGTAGCTTTAGTGGCCATTTCGAAGACACACCGAGATCTACAAAGACCCCTACCCGTGAAGCCGTTTGTGTGTCTTTTTTTTGGTCTTTTGGAGAAAACACTGTTTTTGGTGGAACGGCATTTTTCCAGATGTCAACCTTCTTTGGAGTTTCGTGGGTAGAGTGCGCCTTGGACAGCCAAACAAAAGCGGAGAAATCGGGAGCAAAGGCGGCAACAAACGGAAAAAGGCGGAGAAGTGCAGAAATCTTAGATGAGCAAGGTTACCTTTCCGCAACAGCGGCCTTGTTTCCAAACAACCACAGCGTGTTTTCTCAACGACCTGAAGGTGCCCCTTATTTCAACTTGTTCCCTTCTTTGCCAGGGACCCCGTTGGCTTCCTTGGGATTCAGGTCTACCATCGTGTTTTTTCTTTCGGCTCGCAGGAGGGCCAGAACAAGGGCAGGCCCTTCAATGCGTCCTGGCACGTAGTGGTGCGAGCAGCGGCCATGAGCCGGGAAGAGAGTGTTGCCCGAACACTTGAGCTTCCTTTTTTTGTTGCGCACAGAAATATATATATATACATATATATATATATATTTATGGGCGTTGTGCTAAAACCCAGGTATTCGGTTTGGTATTCCGGATTTCCTGGCTTACATGGCATGAGCTTCCCACTGTGTGTGCGGAAGAGACGTGGAAGGGCAGCGGAGAGGTGCGGAAGCGCCAGTAACCGCAAACATTGATCGAAAACCAGTGATAACTTGTGTGTAGATTTACAATGGGCACGGACGTGCACGGAAGGTTTGCGGAGGGCGGCGGAAGGGCAGATTTCAGGAGAAGCAATTTTGCAAAACCCATATATATATATATATATGTATATATACACACATACACACACACACAAGTCTTCTTTTTTGCAGGTGGTGGAAGGGCATTATGACTGGTAAATATGTTTTGGCGCTGTTTCACGGATCGCCATGAAGACAAGGATTAATCATGCATGTTCACCACAAATGGTGAACACATCAGGGACTCAGGGCGGTGGGGTTAGGCGGTGCTCCCCAAGAAAGCTGCCCCGGGCTGAATTGGGCCCCCGAAATCAGGCTCCATTCATGCGCCTGTGGTCCACATGGAAGCATGCTCCTAAATCTGGGATATGATGCCATCTCAAGACGGGGTAAGGAAAAGCACCCAACCCTCAGTGCGGCCATTTGTATTTGTAAACTAATGGTGCTCATTCCCTTCGCCTTCATGTTGGAGGTGATAGAGACAGGAAACCGCAAGAAGCGAACAAATGAAAGAGAAAGGGACGGAAAGGGTTACACGGTTGGGAATGAAGATATATAGACCCAACCAACCTTCCCTCTCCATCCCTTCATGCCTCACAGAGAAGACTGAGAGGCGGGATGGATTCTAGATGTGGAAGATGCTTGAGTGCTTTGTTTGGTGATTTCTCCCCCGCATTCGAATAGAGTTGCACGAGTACCGACCTCGGGTTGCATGGACAGTGTTGCCTGCCTGATTTGCATGTGAGTTATAGCAACGCGTGCAGATCGTTCGCATCTTGGGCAAGATGCAATTACGAATTCCATGCGAGTCGCGCCTTTAGGTGGAGAACTGGCTCTTGTTTCAATGATGATGTTCAGCGCGTGAGTTGTGGGCCGTTCTTTGACTCAAGTGCGCTGAACAACACGGATGTCTCAGTTTATTTCCTAGAAACTCCAACAGGCAAAGCTGGTAGTGGCGTTACCTTGGTCGACGCGTACCTCTTCTTCCTGTTTTTTTTTTGTACCTTGGTGACTTCTTGCAGCAGTCTTTGACACTGGAGGGGGACGACATTTTCAATGTCTTGTGGAATTTCATTTACAGTTTCATTTTCTCATGGTGAAGACTAGAAGATATAATTTGGGACCATGGGACACACCAGGGCAGTGCTGGCAAATATTGTTTAAACAACTAGATTGTGGCCTCCTTTAAAGGAGGGATGCCCAAACACGGGGGACCATGTTTTTTGTGCCCAAACCGTTTTTTGTTTTTCCAACCTCCACGTTACTTTTTGCTGGGAGCTCCATCAAAGAGGTGGGCCAAAAAATAAAGTCCCTTTAGCATTTGCAAACAAGGGTGCAAAATGGTTTAAGCAGCCAGCCTCCCCCCCTTTGAGAGTAAAACGTGGTTTACGCCCGGCCGGACCCCATCTCCAAAACCCCCACATGTTTTCTTTGACTTCCATTTTGGGTTTATTGGCGCCCCAAGACAGGTAGTCAATAGCTGGTGGTTTGGATTGGTGGTTTGGGGATTTGAACCCCTGGTTCTTGTAGAGGGTAAATCAGGAACCCCCCCCCCCTCCCCGCCCCAGCCTCCACACCACCAATCCAAGCTACAAATGGAAGCCGAAAAGGCTGCGGCTCCAAAGATGTACCAAAATGGCACCTTGGTACCCCAGCAATTTAAGCTTTCGAGCCCCCCCCCCCCTTTTAATTTTTGAGCCACACCCAAAAATGCAAAATCCCCCCCTCCCCCCGTTTGAGCCGATAAAAAATCCGCTTCGAGATCTGCATGAAGCGCTCCTGCGACTTCTTCGCCTGGGGAGATGAGGACCTGGGACGCAAGTTGGGCGACGCGGATCCATAGGGCCATGGGGGGTCATGCGACCATCTGAATGGAAATTGCCAGTGGTATGTGTCAAGGGGTACCCCCCAAAATGGTGATTGTCCTCTTTGGTTTCCTTTTTTAAAAGCAAGGGGCCCCCGTACAAAGAACACATCCACATAAGCCGGCTTCAAAACACTTTAGAGCCGTTTCTCCGTGGGTCAAAACCACTTTCATGGGGATTCATGTAATCCAACCTCCCAGACTAATTTAACTCGTAGCTGTATGAGCATCCCTCTGCAAGCTTTCTGGTTCAATGGGAAATCGGAGGGTTTCTATGAACCGTTATGATCGGTGTCCACCAAAAGCAGTGAACAGCGCTGGCGTCGGTTTCAAGCGTCGTGTCATGCGTCCAGGCCCAGAACTTACCTGCAACCGCTGGCCTGGTGACATTTGCCGCATGCGTTGCTTGTACCTGCAAACGTTACAACGGCTACCTTGCTGAATCAGAGCCAGCGGGCCCACCAGCGGAATCCCCTCGCATAACCCAGTTTCGAGTGCTTCACCAGCACGGTATGTTAGTTGGGTTCAGTTGCGCTTTGGAATCGGTCGCTTGAGTTGAGCTTTGCCAAAAGTTGGGGATGCGGGGCGGGTGCAAAGTGTTTCCCACTGAGTGCCATGCGCCCGTCGGGGGGACGCCCAAACTGTTGTAGGACGTTGAAATTCTGAAATTGTTGGAGCAAGTGGCCGGCTGCAGCGTGGTGGGGGGGTATGGTCCACTGCTTCTCCTGCAGTGATCAAAAAGCATGGTCATCTGCAGATGGAATATGGGGTAAAGCCTCGGTCTGAAGCAGCTTGGACGTGTTTTGCTATGGGAAACGCCTCAAAAATCACAGAAGCTGGTTGTTGTTTGTGGCCAAAGTTAGCAAATGGCTTGTGCGATTCTGAGCTACAGCCCCCTCTGTTTCGGGCACTGCATGAGGCCTTGTTTCTCTGCTATGAAACACAAGCTGTTTGGTTTGGAAGATGAGATCCTTGAATTTGAGAAGAACATGGTCGGCGCCAAATGTGGCAAAGAAGCAAGCTGGCAAACTCTTGGGCCACATCGCACATGACAGCTCAATTTTGCAGACAACTCAATTTCGCACCACCCTCAAGGGGAAGAAGGCTGGCATCGAAGCTCCCGGACATGATTTTCCGCAGTTATATCTTGAACTAAGAGACACCTGCACCCATCGGCCTCAAGTGTCCGGTAGGAGCCCCGCGCTGGTGGTGCGCTGCCGACACCTGTGCGAGCGCCCCGCGGCCAGCGCCCCAGGGCAAAGGCCCCTTGCAGCGGGTCCCCCGATTTGCCCCCCCGTTTGGCGGCGGACGTCTCTGGTTTTTTTTTTTGCTGCATGACGCGCAATCAACAGGTGTTCGTCGTGCTCCTGAGGCACAGGTGATGTTTGAAAGGGACCTGCGCAGCAACGCCATGCTACTGGCTGCCAATGTGGGCTTCATGACAGTCACGTCAGGACAACGCAGCATTCTGCAATACAGAAATATGAGTTACAGATGAAATGCATCTCGTCACTTTGACGGAGGTTCTTTATTCTATCAGCAGCGACACGTGTCATTGTCAGCTATCAATGCTTGCCGCCCTGGTTAGTTAGCAGGCTTGCATATTGGCCTAAGCGATCGTCAGTGCGTCTGGGTGCGCTCCATGACGGTCCCAACCACGTGTGGAAGTGTGAAGCTTGGCGATACCACGCCACAGTTTGAATTCCCAAAAGTGGCACCCTGGGTCATATAAGCCGGAAGGGTGGTTCTTCATTAGCCTTCAGCAAGAGGTGCTTGGCAGCAGGTGCAGCAACCAGGCAATGGCCAATGCAACACGCAAGGCAAGTTTTGGCATGGTAGGCTGTGCGTCAACACAGGGGAGCCATTTGCAAGGTTTTCGCCACAACACGGACTGCAGCCAACCACTTTGGAGGCCCCTAGTATTGACACATTCCCCGGGCTTAAAGGCACAGATGGTTCATGAATTTTAGCCAAGACCCCCCTCCATTTAAGTCCTTTTGGGGGCAAACCCAAAATGGAACCCTGCATTCCGGCCAAGGTGAAGGAGGAGGAGGAGGAGGAGATGTGTGCCGCACTCTCAGCACACCCAGTCAAGAAAGCAGATACGCCTCACAACTTGTAAGGCTGCGCACCAGTTGAGGCTTCCAGTTAATCCACCACTGGTCCCACGGCTTCCCCTTCGAAAGGAAGCCTAAGGTTTACACCGGTGTTTGGTCCATTTCACCGGGCAACCATGCAATGAGAGAAATGTTTGAGCCCTCGCTTAGACTCTTTGAGTACCCGGGATGGGCAGATTTTTGCACAATTCGAATGTCTTGGCTGCTTGCATTTTTCTTAGCCTGGTCAGTTCCGAAATCCTTCACACTGCACAGGGAGGTAACAGTTTCCAGCAATTGGTTCCCCATCCTGCCCTCTTATTAATCTTTGGACTTCATTCTCTTCACAAGAGCTTCATTCGCGACTGGATTCCTGGCACTTTGCAGTGGAACGGCACGACCCCCCGAAAAAAAATGCCCCAACATCTCACCCCGGCCTTCCCTTCTCGCTGGATCGCTACTGCAAGGCTTTCAGTGCAACCAGCCCGGCCATTGGGCCAGCGCTTGCCCCAACAAGGCCGGCTTTTCGGCTTTCCAACAGCCGTTGGGCTGTTGGGGCCGGGAGCAAAAAGCTTGGTGCGTGTCCGTTCAGTTTTCGTGGGGTGCAACATGGACCTGGAGTGCAGCTAGACCATGTGCCCGTTTCCAGGAGATTCGGGCAGGCTCCATGCTGGTGAGAAGCCCTCACTGACCCCTGAAAACACGTCGTGTCGAGAAAAGTGGGATATTTGGAACCTCTACACAAGAGGAAGATACTTCCTAGCACCCCCTTCTTCTTTTTCTCTTGGTGTTTTCACTTAAACACGGGTCAATCCGAAACGGCTTCCTTTGCCAGTTTCAGCCAGGGCCGCTGGGTTGCTTCTAGCGCCATTTCGCCTTCTGCTTTTCGCCAGGCCGGCGGGGCGCCGAAGGGCAAAGGCCGCGGCCGTGGCCGTGGCAGGGGGCGCGGCAAGAAGGCGCGGATGGGTGCCTCCAGGCGATTCCATGGAAGCTCGGGACCAGGACCCCTTTGGAAGACCTGGGTCCATTTACAGAGGTTTTGTGGGAGCCTGTTCGTTGGGCGTCGTGCTGCGTTGCTGACTCCAGGCTGCAGTGATGCTAACATGAAGTATGACGAGGATGAATCGCGATGGGTTCTTTCGGAATATCTCCGGTTCAACAAAGGGTTGAGCCGGCTGGGACAGGGCGGATAGGGATGTTATGATCTGGTAGCTTCAGTAGCTCTCTCTGGATGAACGGCACAAGAATTGCTTTGGCGATGCTTGTTGAGCTGAGGGTACTTGAAGCAGAGCTTCTGGGTCAGCTGAAGATGGCGAGCAGAAGATCGCCCTGACGCTCTTTCCCCCCTGGTTGACGTTAGTTCTGGATCACAGTAATAAAGTACAACACGTAAATTTGCTTGCAGGACATGCGTCATGTCACTTCACAATGATTGATAGCAACTGCCAAAGCTTTTCAGTGCATGTATCATTCCTTGTATCTAAGGCCGGCAGCGAATTCTCAGATTGCGGTCTCCCCGTAGACCATTTTAAGGTTGATAAGATCTTCTCTTGAGTGCCAACAGCCCCGTCTCTCTATTTGTCCATTTTTTGTGTTGCCGAATGTGCCCGTTTCGAGCCGATCCTGAAGGCCTCCGCCGGATTCGACGGCGACTTCGACGGCTTTGACAACTTTGAGAGCGACACCCGCTTCATGCCCTACTGAGGCATTTGACGCGTAATGCGTGGCATTGAGGCAAGAGCGCCCGGCTGCTTGCGGTGAGCAGCTTTGGCCCATTTCTTGCAAGACATGGGCTGCAAAAGTTGTAGCCAAAGTGTAGGCGAGGGTAAGTCGGTGAGTGGCCACATTTGCAGAAGTGCTTTGATCCCAAACGTTGCAGACTTCTTGCAGAGCTCCCAAAGGAAGCACACGGCTTAAGTTAGGCGACATGGGCCATGTCTTGAGTCTAGGGTTAGCTGAGGTGCGGAAACGTGCGCTGGGCAGTTGCTCAGAGCTTCATCGTCGGTTGCAGTGGCGCTGCGAGGGCCTCACAGGCCGCAGTGAGCCTTGAAATGCGCCTTGCGCTGCCTTGCTGCTTAAGCTGAGTGACTGATTGAGGGAAGCACCAGAGACCTTTTGGAAGGGCATGGCATGTGCAAGTTGCGAGAACCTGCAAGGGTAGCTTGCGAGCGCTGGGCGATCCGAATCCTAGCGCCGGCAAGAGATTAATAGGTCGCGCTGCCGCTGACAGAGCGAGCAGGACCCATGGCACGCAGTGCCTGGCATTGCCTCTGGAATTCAGGGGGTTCCAGACACGACGGGGGAGCGTGCGAAAACGTCAAGCAGTTGGCCGCTTGCTGTTTGCTGACTGGATGGGCTGAAACTTGGCTAAGTAGGGCTACCACAACAGCAGGTTTGGCGGACATTTGTGGACAGTTTTAGTAGGTGATTCCCTCGTTTCATGGGGTTGTAAGGCATATATTCGACCAGTATTACATACCATACCATGCTGGTAGAACCAAAAGTCAGCAGGTTTGGGAGCTGCTCAATTCTCCAACTTCCAAGACTGGGAAGGCTGGAAACGCTGGCTGCACTGTGCCCAGGTCCACCCGTGTGCCGCCGCCAGATCACTTGTCGCCTCAACTGGATGAGGAGGCTCGCAAGGGTTCCCATGCCAGCAGGCGATCAGTCACATGTTGCAGCTGTTCACCAGTTGCCGGTGTAGCTGGTGACATGTTGCCATCAGTTGCCAATGGCAAGGGATTGCCAAACTCAGCTCCTGAATGCCGCGAGGGGCTCCACAAAAATGAAGACCCAAATCACATGCAGAAACAGGCTCTGTGACATGCCACAGGCTGCCGAAGCTGCAGTCCAAACACTTTTTGAGGACCTCCCAGTCTCCTCAAGAGCGGGACAGCTGTCTTGA